AAACCTCTACCATTCTTTATATGTAGAAGTACTTCCTAACATCCCTCCTGAATGATCTGGCCCTAATGTTTGGTCTATATCCCCCAATACCTCTTAGTTCTAGAATTTCCAACCAGTGAAAATAGCTTATATAGAATCATAGAATTTTACAGTACAGAATCTTTATCTACCCTATTTTCCTGTTAATATCTTGAAAATATCAGTAACACCTTAACCATCTAAGTTCTGGAGAAACAGGCCTAATTTGTATGTCTCCTCGTAACAATCCCTGAAGTTTAGGTATCATTCTTGTAAACCTGTGTTGTACTCCATCCAAGGCCAATATGTCATTCCTGAGGTGTGGTGCCCAGAACTGCTCAAAGTACTGCAAGTGGGTTTAACTTTATACTCTAATCCCATTTTCAAGCACTTAGCCTGTAGTATTGTATGCTATGGCATTTCAAATGTTCACTTAGGATACCTAAGTGTGCACTGAACTTAGATCCTACAAAGCCTGAACACCTAACGAAGCAACAGTGATGAGAAACAGAAGCCAACCAAGGGAGAGGTACAGTATTCCAACTGTGCACAGTGCACAGGTACTCTTGCGTAATAAGGTGCTATTGACTATCGTAACATAAACCAACACTCCAACAAAATGTACGAGACAAAACATCTGCAGGTCGAGAAAAGCCAAATGTTAACTCAATCTCTGTAAGATTAGAGGCTTGCAGTAGAGTGATAATGTCCCTATTCTCTTGCCCAGAAAGTCCATATTCAAGTGGCACCTATCCCAGAGGCCTGTCACGAAATGTCAGAACAAGTTGCTTGGAAGTAATATACTATCAGGATATTGGAAGAGTTGTCAAACCACTGATACGTTACACTCATCTCCACAATTCTTGTTTCTGTGTAAATATTTTTGCAACTACCTATTTTTTAATATAAATAAGTAAAACATACACACACACGAGGGCCTGAGTATTTTAAAAGATATGAGTGTGCTAATAAGCCAAGGACTGCGTCAATATCACATGTCCAGGGGCTATAAGGACACCATGCAGCAGTGTGCTAGACAAAGGGTGTGTGTAAAAATTGCTTGAAACTGCAAGTTCAGTTTGTCTGTTAGTCCACCTATTTGAAATTCAGGTAAGTTGAATGTACACTATTTACTACTGCAGAATAAGAATAGTAATTCTGTGTTAAATGATGATAACACAATACTCTTGGATTCGAAGATAGGAGGAACTGCAGATGCTGGAGAAATTTCTGAAGAAGGGTCTAGGCCCGAAACGTCAGCCTTCCTGCTCCCCTGATGCTGCTTGGCCTGCTGTGTTCATCCAGCTCTACACCTTGTAACTCTTGGATTCAATACCTTTGCAACCTTGATCCAAACATAGACAACAAGGCGCTGAGTGGTTCTGATAGAACATAATCTGAGCATCGATAAACAGGCTATTTCTGATCATGTGCCACTTGAAATCAAAATTAATGACCTCTTCCATCAGTTTACTGAAAATCAATACTTGTGTGATGGTAATTGGTCACGTAGGATTTTTGCTTTTTGTGGACAGGATATATCCGGGCAAGTTTCCATGTCAGGCACATGTCTGTGTTCTAGCTGTACTGGAGCAATTTGTCTGAGGCAGCTGTGAGTTCTGGAGCACAAGTCTTCAGTCGAATGTTATTAAAGCATTTGCAGTATCCGTTTCTTGATACCATGTGGAGTGAATTGCATATTGGCATGTGTGATGCTAGGACCTAAGGAGGATGCTGAGATGGATCTTCCACTTGGAAATTCTGTCTGAAGATTATTGCAAATGCTTGTACCAAAGGTGTGATCCAAGATGGTGGTGGAGTAGGGCTCATTACCAGAGCCCAACTGCTCCGACCGCTTCTCATTTTCCTGCTTTTCCCTTTCTTTCTTTTGGTTCTTTAGCCTTTGGTGCTCAGCCATGGAGGTGGTGATGGCAGCTCCTGGGGACTTTGATGGTTGGCCAGCATCATTGATGCCCGGAGTGGTGCCAGAGAGAGACTCTGAAGCGAGGTGGCTGACGCAGCAACGGACCGTGACAGAGACTGGGGCCATTGTGGGCCCAGATGGCAGCAGCGATAGTCAGCAATGAAGCGATGGCAGCAGTGGCGATCAGTCATGAATAATGGCAGTGAGGCAGTGGTGAAGGCTTCTCTCCCAGTGCTTGGTTTAGTTGTCTATCATTCACAGCTGGATGTGGCGGCACTGCAGAGTTTAGATCTCATACGTTGGTTATGGGATCACTTAGCTTGTCTATCATTTTACCAATCATCATATATGACACATGGCAAATAAACATATACCTTCAACGTTGACTGACCCACATGTACCAGCCTGAACACCATAGGTTGACTGTATATATCTAGTATAATACATTATGAGGACAATCTTGTGCGCTGGTGTTGTTGAATAAACCTACGTGCAAGACCGCCTGGCTCTTAGTTCTTTTGCCAAATGAATGCTTACCATTTTTGTTGTTCATTTCTAGGATAAGCAACAGTAACAATTATAGATTCTCGCACAGAATTTTCTATGATGCCCCAAGACATGAATCTTCAAAGTGGGCCTCTAACATTATGACAATGAGATGTCCTGTTGTTATTTATTTAAAAGAACCAAATAGGGCCTGAACTGTTCACCATAGATAGTAATGACTCGGATGCTAAGAACACCATATATCCAGATTTGTCCATGACACAAAGATAAGTGGCATTGTAAGTAGTGCGTGGGGAATCATAAAGGTACAAAATAAATGTATGGAGTTAGGTAACAGATCAACTATGATCTCATTGACAGAAAGTTTGAGGAACTAAATGGATTAATCCTGTTCCAATATTCTGGTAAACAGATCAAGCTTCTAGAAAACATAAGAGGCTTTTTAACCCATTAAGTATGCTATGCTATTCAATATGACCATGAGCTGATTCCCTACCTCAATGCTATACTCCTGTTCTCTCTCCATACCCCTTGACACCTTTAGTGTTTAAATGTACCTATTTTTTAAATATGTTCAGTGGCTAGGCCTCCACCACTTTACGGGATAGAGAATTCCACTGGGTCTCCATCCTATCAGTGAAGATATTTCTCCTGATTTCAGTCCTAAATTTTCAGTCTATCCTGTGTACTGATACAGTCGCCCCTTGTTCGAGATCACCTAGCTGGGGATCATATTCCCTGCATCCAGTCTGTCAACCCTGTCAAAATTTTATACATTTCAATGCGATTTTTTTTCCCCTCTCTAATCTCCCGTGAATTCAGCCTTAAATGACCCAATCTCTCCGATGACGAAAATCTGCCTTTTGAGCGATCCGCCTGGTAACTCTTTGCTGAACTCCGTTGATGAAGAGAATATATTTTCTTCTGCAAGGAAATCAAAACTGCACACAATACTCCCAGTATGGTCTCACCAAGATTCTGTTGCAGCTGCCTTAAGACATCATGCTCATATACTCAAATCCCTTTGCAATGAAGGCCAATATACCATTTGCCTTCCTATCTGCTTGTCGCATCTGCGTGCTTGCTTTCAGTGACAGGTGTACACAAACACCCAGCACCCTTTATACATTAAAATTTCCAAATCTATCACCATTTAAATAATAATTTTCTATTGTTTTTCTTCACAGAAATAGAATAGATAACTTTGCACTTATGCACATTAAGTTTCTGACAAGTATTTATCCACTCACTTAACCTATCTAAATCTCCTTGAATCCTCTGTACTTTGTGTTCACTATTCACAACTCCTGACTTGTGTCATCAGCAAACTTGGAAATAAATCATTAATATAGATTGTGAATAACTGGTACTCAGACAGATCCCTGCTGTATCCCACTGGTCACCACCACCTAATCCAAAAAACAGATCATTTATACTCGCACTGTGTTTCCAGTCTGCTAACTAGTCCTCGGTCCGTACTGTATAGTACCTCCATGACATGTTTTAATCCTGCACAGTCGCCATATATGTAGGGTTTTATCAAAAGCTTTCCAAAAATCTAAAACAACGTATTCTTCGCTTAACTATTTTACTAGATACATCCTCAAAGCTTCTGTAGGTTTGTCAAACATGTTTTCCCCTTCATAAATCTATGTTGACTTTGTCTACTAATGTTGATATTTTCTAAGTGTCTTGTTACCTGCAGTTTACCTACAGTATGTTAGGCTAACCAGAGTGGAATTCCCTGTTTTCTAGTACTTTTTCTAAGAACTATGTGACTCCTCTTTAAATCTAATGCTATCTTTAATATCTTTTATTAGCTATTGTTGGAGCATGGTTTGTTGTAATTTTGCACCAAAAAGGAATGTATAATTGTTACAATCTATATTTATTCCTGAAATATTAGCCATAGTCTATCCATTGTCATGTCTTACCCAATTTACCAGATTTAGCTATTACGATCACAGCCAACATATGCTTTCGTACCTTTGAAAGTTTTCTATTTTAGATTTAGGAACTTAGTTTCAGATTGAACCATTTCATGGAAGCTAAAACAGTGAATGTTTTCAAGGAGTTAGATATAGTTCTTAGAGTGAAGGAGTATTTGAAGTAAGTGGGAACAGGGTACAGAGTTGGATGATATGATCATATTGAATGGTGCAGCAAGCTCAAATGGTGAACAGCCTTCTGTTCCAATTTTCTGTGTTTCTAAGGTTCAACAGAGGAACCAGCTAATTTTTGGTGGTGTTTTCAGAAGAATTAGAATCTAAAGGATCAATGGCTGCTTAAGTCAAAGGAGCCTTCAAGAAGGGGACTTGTGTTTTCTTTAAGCACATTAGGAACACAATAGCGAACCACCTCATGTACTCTTTCCCTTAGTAATTTGCTCATTGACATTGAAAATTGGAGGCTCCAACAAGCAACTGAAGGAAAAAATGCAAGACTGTGAGGCATGGTGAATGAGTAGATTACTACAATGCTTCTCTGTGGGTAAATTAAATAGCACCCAATATAATATCTACTAAGTATAATACCAAATTTTTGGTTGCAGTTGACCTCCTTGCCCTTTTGAAATGGAAAGCTCAGCCAGAAAGAGTGATGGATATCCTGGGGAGACTGCGTCATGTCAGCGGTGAAGAAATAGTTAAAGTAAGTCAGTTAATATTTAGATCATGTTGTTCAAAACGTTATTGCAACAATATGCTCAGAAAAGATACAGCAGCCTATGATTCAATTTAAGAAATGTTATGTTATTTCATCAGGCTGATCTTTTCTCCTTTTTTTAAAAGACTGCTTTTCCCTATTCGATTTTGTTCAACCCATACATCCTTGTGTCACCTGACCACTGTCCATTGCCTCTTCTCTACATTTCCCCCTTTATCCTCCTTCTTTACAATCTTCACTTGTCTTTCCTCACCTCACATCCACTATATCTACCCAGAGTTCTCCCTCTCTTCTTAGCTCTGTTCCAACTCTCTCCTCCTCCTTATCCTTCATCTCTCGTCACTGCACTCTCCATTCTGATCATCTGTCATCTCATCTTTCCCTTCTTACTATTATTCTTTCTCTCTAGTCTGTCCCTCTCAATATGGGAATGCTCAAGTGGAGTAGAATACAAAATATTTTCACTGTTCGCAGTGTTGAATGTTGATTATGGGTCTCACTGAAACATTGTGGCCTTCACCAGGTTTCCATTACCCCTTATGCAAGCGTAATGAGAATCTCCAACCTCCAACATATTAAGCTGAGGAGGTCACTTTTAATTGAAATAAGGAGATAAGTGGCTGAAATTGTTATATGAAGTTGACTAGAAAAGGGCAGAAGGTAAGATAAAGTATAAATGAGTAGTGAGTTTCAAAAGTTGAAAGTTATTGCAGGAGAGTCTGTTGAAGGAAATAAGCAAACAAAGTTGTTGGAAATAGTTTTATACAGTGTAATGAGTGTCAACCCGGATTCGACATTCTTAAAACTATTACCACAGGAGCCGTTAACCTATCACCAAGTCACCCTTTATTTACACATGAACAGTCCTTGACTATAGTACTGCCTCATTAAGAGGCAGGTACCAGTGTGTCAGTATCTCTAGGCCAGAGTAACAGCCCCAATCAGGGAACTCATTCAATGAAGCCCAGTTGGCTGACTTCATTACAATCATTACATCCCTCCCACTTTGAGTGTGCAGACATTCGCTGATAGTTTTTCTTGGAGAGCCTCCTGGGGCGTATCATCACCAGGTTATGTTCCTCCACTCAGAGTCCAATATGGGCGGCATTTAATAAGCCTCTTGCTCCATGAGCGCCTTGGTAGAATTTCACTCTCATTTTCCAGTGGCAAAGGTGTCCAGGTGGCTACCTGCATCAAGTCCATCTCCGATTCAGAGGATTCAACAACTCTTGACGGAGATGGTGAATCCACAGGTTCCGGCAGCATTTCCCAAATGTTACGAGGGACAGGCTATGTTTTTCTCCCACACCATGCGCTAGATTTATGGCTTTCATATGGTCCACATGCTCATTCAGGACACATCACAGGTCCTGACCTCATGTCAACCATGCCTTACCCATGCGTAGTCTTTTCCATGATTCTTTCACCAAACTATCCCAAGTATCAAACTGTCTCTCTTAGGGTAAGTAGAGAAGGTCTTTTTAATCGGAGTGGGGTGGGGGGGGGGAAAAAGTCCAAAACTAGGGACCATAGGTTTAAGGAGAGAGGAGAAATACTTAAAAAGGGACCTAAGGGGCAAATTTTTTCATAGAGGGTGGTGCGTGTATGGAATGAGCTGCTAGAGGAAGTGGTGGAGGCTGGTACAATTACAACATTTAAAAAGGCATCTGAATGGGTATATGAATTGGAAGAATTTAGAGGGATAGGAACCAAATGGGACTAGATTTATTTAGGATATCTGGTCAGCATGGACGAGTTCAACAGAAGAGTCTGTTCCTGTGCTGTACATCTCTATGACTCTGACTCTTGCTTGGCAGTCTTGTGTCTGGCGTTGGAGTACCTGATGCCATTTCATGTGCCTCTCCCCCAGGTCCAGGAAGATCACACTTAAACCTAGTGCAGAATCTTCTGCCCATTATCAACTCTGCTGGTGCTATCCTTGCTGTTGCATGTGAAGTGGTCCTTTAACCAAAAAAGAACCCTGACAACTTGACATCTAGTCAGGCTGTTCAAGCCTGCCATCAAAGTTTGGACTGCTCTTTCTGTCACCATTGGATGATGGATGGTATGGAGCTGACCTTATGTCAAATCCTATTCAACTTTAAAGAAATAACAAATTCTTTGTGTCTAGGACTGTTTCCAGAAAATTTAATATCAACAAACTCTTCCATTTGGGATGCTACCTTGGTGTATCCACTAATGGGCAGCAGCTCAATGCATTTGCAATCATTACTTAGCCTCCCAGATGGTTTTCTAACTTTATAATTATAAGTACTTAGTATTAGAGCCCACTGCTGAATGTAGCCTGAAGCTATGGACATCGCTGCTTTGTCCTCTTTAAGCAGAGCAAGTAAGGATTTGTGGTCCGTGGTTATCACAAATCAGAGTTAACATTTTGGGTCCACTAACCCTTCTTCAGAACTGGAGAAGACTAGAGAGGAGTTCTGAAGAAGGGTCACCGGGCCCAAGACTTTAAGTTGGATTTCTGTCCATTGATGCTGCCAGACCTGCTGAATTTTTCCAGCAATTTCTGTTTATGTTTCAAAAACAGTGCGCCCAGTACTGCCCATTCTGTGAATTGGACTGGTTTGATGATTCCTTCACTTTCCAGCCTTCTGATTTCACCTGGAAGGCAAATGGCACTGATTGAGCCTTGCAGAATTGTGGAATTGCTTCCAGGTCAACATGCAAGGTGGCCTTGGTTCCTCTGATAGTCCCTAGACCTTCCTGGAAGACCTTTGGGAATTTAATTAGGACTTTTGTAATCAAAAAAAGTGTCAAGTGTCAAGACGATGTAATTTAGTCTCTCAACCAATTTCGTCCCATCAAGATTGGGCCGGAGCCTTTTACTACAATCACTGTTAACTGAACTAGCTACTTTTCATAAAAGACTTCAACCAAAGTTGTACCCTTAATCTGGAAGGGTTTGCCAGTATTGGTTAGCAGCCTAGCTGAGCAGAGTCTTGTGCAAGTTTTGCACAAGAGTCCAGTACACTTTTTTTAAAAAAAAAAAACTGATTCTACAATCACTGACATGGCCACACTTGTATCAACCTGCATTGGAACTGGATGACCATTTAATATCTCAATTGGTTCTGATTTTGATGTTGCTAAGCATTTTAGCTGTTCCACACCAGATGTAGGTAGACTTTCCAGGGTATGAACTCTCCTGGAGACTCTCCTAGATATGGCCTATGAGCTATCTTCCTTAGTTTAGATCTAATAGGATTCTTTTACTGTCTCAAGTCCACATATTGGCAACAACCTACAACGTGTCAACTAGGATCCTGAAGGAAATTTTAACTAAGGCTTGGCTTTGTTTTGGGGGTCTTGCTGTGGGCCAACCTGAAGTTCTTCTGTACAGGATATGTCCTGAATGAGACTATGTCATTGCCTGCACTCAAGTGGTGTTCCTCAAGCTTAGTCAGACTGGCGAGGGTGTCCACTTCCATTGGAATCCCCTACAACTCCTATGCTCCACTTGCCACATTTTTCATTGATAAAGCTAGTTGTAGCAAAAATAGAAGTTGCTGGAAAAGCTCAGCAGGTCTGGCAGCATCCATGATGAAAAAAAACAGGGTTAACATTTCAGGTCCAGTGACCCTTCCTCAGAACTCCTCAGCTCCTCCAGCAACTTCTGTTTTTGTTCCTGATTTACAGCATTCACAGCTCTTTTGGTTTTTATTAAGTCAGTTGTAGCACCTGTTTGAAGTCCAGTTGTGCTTCAGCTGGCAGACTTTTTTTGTATACTTACATCATTAATCCCACATACCAGACAGCTTCTACACATCTCATTGAAGGTCAAATCAAATTCATAAGCTTCCACCAGTCATCTTAACCTAGTCAAAAATCCCAATACAGATTCTCTTGGTTCTCAAATTGCCAAGCAAAAATGATAACATCTCAGAATTAGAGGAGGCTTGAGGTCATATATTTTTAAGCTATGTCAGTCAATTCTTAAAAAGCTTTAGTACCTGGAGCCTCAGGGAAGTTAGGCTCCTTGTGACAGATAAAGCTGCAGCTCTACAGGCTGTCAGGAGAATTACTCATTGTTTTTAATCTGCCACAATGTTGTTTGCCCAGAAAAAAAAAAAAGCATTCTTTCCTCATACTGGGCCCAGAACTCAACAGCAGGGTCAAATGACTCAAGCTTCTCAAACAAAGGCATGATTTAAGAAATATTTACCTCAGCTCAAAGATGACTATTGAGAGCAAGTTTCTTCAGGATTGTGCCTTAGTCTCATCACCAAGTCACTCCTTATTTACACATGAATAGTCTTTGACTATAGTAAGGTAGTATCTCTGATGAAGGGTCTAGGCCCAAAACATCAGCCTCTCTGCTCCTATGATGCTGCTTGGCCTGCTGTGTTCATCCAGCCCTGCACCTTGTTGTCTAGTATCTCTGACACACCCTTTTTAATATGACAGCCAGGGCTCCTTGATTGGATCAATCAGGGAACTCATTATCAATGAGGTTCAGTTGGCTGGCCTCGTTACAATCACGACATCATGCCCTTCTCGTTGTCCCCCAAAATGACCACCCTTAAAATGCCCCACTTCCCTGTCCCAATCAGAAAATAATGACCCCTCATTCCCTGTTGGGTGGTTCTGATTGTCAGATAAATAGTTTCTTCCCCCCACCCCACTCTGTGGCTTGATACTAACCAATTGAAATACTCAAAGACAATGAAAATAATGTTTTTTAAGCTTCAATTATTTTTCTCCCAGATTGCCTACTGCAATGTCCTGGAAAATAAATAATGCTTGGAGCCACCGGCCAAGATTGTTAAAACTAGCTGATCAACCTTGACTTTGACACAGCAATGTAGCAATGACGCAGAAGAAGAAAGTAGAATTAATGAGGATTATTGTGATGGATAGTTGTAAGCAGTGACTTCATACCATGCACTTATGAAAGTAGGTGGGTCGTCCAAATCAGCTCCCTTTTCTCTTGCTATACGCTGCAAGAATGCCCAAAAGACTACAGGTACAGCCCACTGCCTTGTGTGTGTGTTTGAGGGGGCAGAGGGGGTGGTGTGTGGAGAGAGAGAGAGAGAGAGAGAGAGAAAGAGAGAGCGCAACAGATCAGCAAAGCAGGTCTGGAGAAAAGAAAGGCTGGGGACAATTCTTGAATTATTCAAGAGATTTAATACAGTCTCAGGAAAGATTTAATAATGTTGGACAGCAGCAGTTAGAATGTAAATGAATTATTTTTTTCTGCATATTCAATATGTATTCATAACTCTCAGAGAGAGAGAGAATAACAACTTACTGGATTATATTTCCATGGGTACTGGTATGCCTCCAACTCCTCAATCAGACAGCAGTGACCATGAGGACACCTATCAAATCCCCACCTGGTATCATTGTGTACAAGTTTGGATCATTAAATATCAATTAGTACGACATAGCAGGGGATGCAGAGGACAATAGTGGTATCTCCAATAAGTAAAGTTAAATTGTCAAATCTGATCTTTCTTTGTCTCTGTGACTCCTCACTGAATGGTGAATTGAGCCATGAATAATTGGAAAGAAGATCCAAGTCACTGACACTTTATTGTAGCATTAACTCTAAATAGCATTTAAAAAATATTAGCCCACACTCTGAAGTAGTTTAATTTCAATGTAAAAATTCAGTGAATGGGTATCACTGATACTGAAGCAATTTCCCTGGTTAAATCTCTTCTCTTTTCCAGTTTTTACAGGATATTTTAGATACGCTGTTTACAATTTTAGATGACAACACAGAGAAATATGGGCTGCTTGTATTTCAATCCTTGGTAAGTATCATTAACTTGGTAAATTATATATCCAACCATTTCCTGGCATTGTCAGACTATGAGATGAAATAGTCTGAAATACAGTTGCAGTGTGAAGGCTCTTCGATGCAGCGTATTAACCCTGTCTTTGTACCAGAACACCTGGGTTCAAGTCCCACCTGCCCTGGGAGTATGCCATAACATGTCTGAACAGATTATTTGAAAATAACTCTAATGGCAGTTGGAAAGTAAGGTTTTTGGAAATTATGTCCCAGTGTGTCATGTGGTTTGAAGAAAATCTAATTTCTTCTCTATCTTCTAGAACCAACATTTCTAGCACCGCATTTGTCAAATTGCAGAATAAAGTTAACTTTTTCATTTTGTTTTATTCTCTTGAATTGTTTCCCATATTTCTTGAAGGTTTGGATCCTTGCTGAGGTTTTAGACACCCATGACTGAATATCTGCCAAGTGGTCATTTCTCACATCCAAACCTGGACAGTTAAAAGGGTACATGGCCTTTTTCATTGTAGATCTACATTCTAGAAGACTTCATAGATAAGAATTAGCAGGAGAAATTCTGGCTCATTTTCTCTTCATGACCCTTGCAAGATGAGGCCACCAAGCCTGTCCCTGTGCAGGCTGACCACTAACTCAGCATAATTAGACATGAGACCTTTCTGATCTGTGTGTCTCAGTACTATAATGAGCATGAAAAGAGTGGCTTGCAAATTATTATTTAATAAAATAGAAGTCAGAAGTATAATGAAGCTTATATTTGCATCATCCTGTAAAATAACCCACCTGACAATTTCCCAGTTTGAATGACAGATTTGATCCACTCATTTCCTCAGCAGCTATTGCACCTGAAAAAAAGAGACCAGCTATTGGAGACTAAAGGAGCAATCCCTAATTTTTTTAAAAAAATTAAAGATATAATATTAAGATATAAAGGTACCTCTGCTGCAATGAGGAACAAACTGAAACAATAGCTTGTAATGTTGACATGTTTAGGGGTTCCATTTCTCTGAAAACGGAATTTTAAAAGATAAAGGAATTTATTTTGATAGGATTATGGTTCTTTTTTGGTTATGTGTTTGGCTTGTATTATGCAAATGATAATAAAAATTGCAGGTTTTTCCACTCTTTTTCCTCTTCCTTCTCCTCTCTCTTAATGATCAGACATGTATATGGAATATAGACAGACATACTGATTTCTAGTTAAACTGTAGGATGAGTGTTTTTATTTATTCTTACAGTAGTCACATTTTAGTTCAAAGGGCCAACAATAAAAACCATGGATGCATAACCTCTCAGCTAAATGCTCACAACTCAAATCCCAGGACTTCTTGTTGCTCAGACCTATTTGTGTCAGTTGGGTAGCTTTAGTAAGCCGCAGGGTTCGCATTGCCCAAATATCCTGGCCTCTGCCACATGACATTTTTCTCCATATTGCCCCTAGCTTGAATATACCTCATTCAAAGAAATTTATCTTCTATTTCTCTGCTGAGCGGGCATGCAGCCTCGTAACAAAGATGATTAATTCCTCGGAATGACTGACTTCAAACTGCTTGTATTCACCAACCAGTGCACTCTGTCTCATCTAATCCTTCCAGTACATAACACAATGCAACACAAACTTCTCTCTCGATTCCTTTCCAGCTCTCTCTCAATCACCCATAGTATAAATGGATTAAAAAGGTACGTTGCAAGCACCTTATTATTGTACTGCATGCCACTGCCTCAAATGTCACACTGCTCATCAGGACTACCAAAAGGAACAAAAATTTCTTTATTGGGAATACCAAGGCTACTATCTTTGGGTTCCCACTGCATTTCCTAAGTACTGGCTTCATCCCTCTATCTGGCTATTGTATGAGAATGAATCACACTTATCATAAATAGAGTATAATTTGCCCTTGAGTTCAGCTTCTGACCCTGTACCTTCTCCATCACCGTCATATGCTATCTTTGTTACATTATCAATCTACACCACTGTTTCACCTCATCTCCTGCTGAACCCTACCAATACCTTGGTCACCTCTAGACAGGATTATTCCAAACTATACCAATATATTCCTAGATGACCTCCAATTTTATACACTCTGTAAGTTTGAGATCATTCAAAATTCTGTTATCCATATCCTAACTCATGTCAGATATTTGGAATAGAAATGTATTACTGTTCTGTGGTGCCTACTGCCTTGCTGTAGCCATGTGACCATGAAGTACTGATTGTAGCTATCTATCTGACAGCCAGTTCAATAAAGACACAGTACAAGCCTGAATGTTGCCTTGTGAACTGGTAATGTGGTGTCAGACTAGAGTGGAAATTGAGTGTTGAAAAGCTATATAGCAGCACAACTACTAAAAGAGGAAAACAGGAACATTCAGAGCTAATGAAAGCTGAAAAAAGACACTGGAAACCACGGTAAAAGAACAAAGAGATAAGGCACTGCTGAAGTCGCTGGGTAAGAAACAAACTTTCTTCTCCCAGCACTGTTCAAAATTAAAAGCAATATGAAACTGAACTGAGCTCATAATAGCAAAATCAAGAGATTGCAGCAGATTTAATTTTTAAAAAATAGTAGCTACGAATAGTTACAATTTTATCACTGTTGGGGAGACAAGGTGTATAGCACCCAAATCTCCCCAAAGAATAGAAAAAACAGACAGCAAAAATGTTAAAAGCCTTGAAGGCATACATTGAACCCCAAGGGAACATAAATTATGAATGGTATATGTTCAATATTAGGGCACATGGTGAAAAAGATTCATTGATGGATATGTAGCGGCATTAACACAGCTCACAAAATTTTGTAAATGTGCACAACTAAAAGATGATTTAATTAAAGCCAGGATTGAATTAAGCATAAGAGATCCTGTGGAAAGACCATGTCTGCTGAAAGAGGGGGAAATTACTCTCATGAAAGTAATTAACATGTACAGAAGTGCTGAGGTTGTAAATTAGTAACAAGAACATATCCGTGGCGGAACAAACCAAATCTGACTTTATGCTGATAGACACTCAAAGCCAAAAGGACAGAAGGACAAAGGACAGGAAACAGACACTGCAGAGGACATTACATAAAGGAAAAGAAGGAATGTGCAGCTTAGAAAAAGCAGTGTTCTCACTGCAGGAAGCCGAATCATTTTATACACAAGTGTTCATCTGGAAGAAAACACAGCAAGGTGGGTACAAGTGTCTACTGGGAAGGTAACAGCTGAAGGTCCTGACATATCAATCTATTTCATACTACAAGTTAGTTTGTCAGGTAGTTAGAAAATAAATGGTTTATGACTGTTGGAATGATGACTGCAGAAGGAAAACATCTCCAGTCCTGGGTTTAAAGTACCAGATAGACATCGGTGCATCATGCGACATCATGACTTTCACAGAACTGTACAAAGCGGTATAACATAGTGATCTTAAAATGAAACCCTCAAAAGTAAGTTTAAGGCTACATAAAGGACATTTTACGATGAGAGCTCATTGCACTGACAAAACAAAGATTTGGAGTTCCAGATCTTAGTTAGGCAAGTGATACAGACGGTTGTGCACGCCATCTGGTATCTCTACAGCTCCAGAGAAGTATCGAGGCAGGCAGCATGAGATTGTTAGTGATCTTGCCAGAGTTGATCAATAGTAGATGATCTGTTAGTTTATAAATGCAGAGATACAATGGAAAAAGCCATTGTTGACTGTGATCAAAATGTAGTGTAATTACTCATCAGAGATCGTCTGATGAACCTGAAATCAAATGAAAAGAAAATTGCAATTAAAAATGTGCCAAGTCAAGTACATGCATACTGACAGCAAAAGGTCTTACATCGGATCACAGGAGGATGAGAGCTGTAGCGGCAATGCAGCAATGATGTATAAGCAATACAGTGATTTGTTGGATTGATCAAATTCTTGGCAAAATTCTTGACTAATTTTTTTTGTCAGAGTGTGAATCATTATGCCAACTCACTGCCAAGGGCATGCAGTAGTATTGGGCACAAAGCAAGAAGCAGTATTCACTAAAATAAAGTAACTAGTGACAACAATGCCAGTGCTGAAATACCATGACATAAATGATGAAGTCACCCTGGAGTATGGCACCAGCAGGGCAGGACTTTGAAGCAACTCTGATGCAACAAGGACAACCGGTTGCATTTTCTTCCAGGTGTTAATATAAATAGAATGATGTTACATTCAGATCAAGAAAATAGTGCCTGACCATTGTATTTCCTTACGCACATTTTCATCAATGCCGACTTGGAAGAGACAAAGTGACAGTTGAATCCAACAACAAGCCACTTCAAATTATTTTCCTCAAGGTGTTGCTATCTGCTCCAAAGCCTCTGCAAAGAATGTTACTCCATCTGCAGAGATATCATATGTAGTTGGCAGAGCTTACATCGCTGGTATGATGTCAAACACAGCACTGCCAATGAAGAAAGTAGACACTGCTACAATGGAGTGTGATAGCTTCTGGATCCAATAAGAAGAAGCAACTCTATATGTTCTGGAAACCATCAAGCTATCTAACAAGATGCAACTCTCCCAAGTATGACAAAAAGTAATGATGAACCAATGGCCTGAAAGCATCAAGGACACTCCTATGGTCGCAGAAGCATGTTAGGCATAGAGAGATGAATTGACAGGTCAGATGGCAGTTTGTACAAATGAGTCATTAACCTTAAGGAGTTGAAAGGAGAGATGGTAAAGTGCAGCCATGCAAGTCACCAAGGAATTGAGTCTAAGGAATGCAGGAGGATGCTCTACTGGACAAGCGTGAGCAACAAAATCATGGACCACATCGGGCACTTTGAAAGCACACTTTAGCCGTTTTGTCATTCCAACATTGTGACAAACAATGATGGCCCTCAGTTTATAAGTGAAGAATTCAGACGCTATAGAGGCATAGTAAAAATCATCCTTTCATGTCACCCTTTCATCACAAAAGGAATCATAAAGAAATCAAGCAAATCCAGCATAGATGTATACAAGGCAATCCTCGAGTGAAGAAATATACCTGCAGAACACAGAAAGTAGTCCAGCACAAAGACCAATACCGTGCAAAATCCAAGCTACCTTTCCAATAGCAAAATAAAATTAAGCCAGTAGTAGTAATAGGTATGAGTGAAGTGAAATCAAGGTGAAATGGCAAAAAGCAACAATTTAAGGAGACTGCAAATCTATTGCAGAGTTGAACATTGGAAGCTCAGTCACTGTACAAATCTTCAGCACACTCAAAAAGTGTACATCTACTGAGTAAAACTATTTTCTTGACTGAAAGCAATGGAAGCTGCTGAAGTATAAGGACAGTTATGTGCATATTGGGTAACTTTGGTAAATTACAATGGAAATGATAATACCTGCAATGTTTTTGCATGAGAAGGGAGGTGATTGGGATGGAAATGTAATACTGTACTAATGTACTTCCTGCCTTGTGGTAGTGATATGATCTTTATCATGGGCACTCACTACAGACATGCATCTTATAAGCTGCTCCAGAAAGACACAAAATAAGCCAGATTGTTGCCCTATGAGCTAATAATACCAAATTTCATTCACCCACCCGAGTTCATTGACTCCTTGTTTCTCAATACCTTAATGTTAACACGCCATCTTTGCTACAAGTCCCTTCTGAATTCCCTATTTCATCATAGAATCCCTACAGTGTGGAAACAGGCCCTTTGGCCCAACAAGTCCACACTGCCCCTCAAAGCATCCTACCCAGACTCAACCCACCTAATCTACACATTCCTGAACACCATGGGCAATTTAGCATGGCCAATCCTCCTAACTTGCACATCTTTACACTGTGGCAGGAAACCGGAGCACCCGGAGGAAACCCGCGCAGACACGGGGAGAATGCAAACTCCACACAGACAGTCCCTGAGGGTGGAATCAAACCAGGGTCCCTAGCACTGTGAGGCAGCAGTGCTAACCACTGAGCCACCATGCTGCCAATTGTTTTGCTGAAAGCTCTGTAACCTGTTCCAGCTCTGCACCCATCCAAGATATCTCTACTCCCAATCTGACCTATGCATATAGAATCACAGAGTGGTACAGGAAAGAAGGTGACCATTCTGTCTATCATGTGTATGCTGCCCCTAAGAAGGGGTAATTATAAACTTACAAACCAAGGAGCTGGAGTAGGCTATTCGTGCCCTCGCGCTTTCTCCAACATTCAATAAGATCATGGCTGACCTGATTGGAACCACAAATCCACATTCCTGCCTCCCTTGATAACCACCTAGCACTACCCCCTGCCTTTTCCTATGACCCAACAATTTTTTCTTTTTAAGATAATGACGTACTTCCTTTTGAAAGCCACAATTGACCCTGTCTCCACCATACGCTAAGGCAGTTCATTCCAGATCATAACAACTCACTGTGTGAAAACATTTTTCATCATGTCACTATTGCTTCTTTTGACAATTACCTTGAATCTGTTCTCTTTGGTTCTCAGTCCTTTCACCAATGGGAAACTGTTTCTCCCTATCCACTCTTTCCAAACACCTGTGATCTTGGATATCTCAAATTTGTCTTCTCCAAAGACAGTAGCCCTAACTTTTCCAGTCTTTTTATAGAAGTGAGATTCGTTATTCCTGAAACTGTTCTTGTGAATCTTTTCTATATGCACTCCATCCTTCCTGTTTTCAGAACTGGGTACAACTCTCCATTTAGCTGAACCTGTAGTTTTATAGTTTTTCATAACTTTTTGGTGTTTGATGATACAAAACTTGAGTTTGCTGAAGAAGACACATTTCGTCAAAGCTTTTCATCTTGCACTCATAAGGACATTTCAAAAGAATACCAATTCAAGGGGAAAACCTACATTTATACTACGCAAGAAGAGAGTGCTGATTGGTTGCCAAGTGAACTCTGATTGGTAGAGGCATTACCATAGAGAATGCACCCATTATTACTGATTGAAAGTTATCTACCAGGCTTTGTTTAAATTTTAAACCAAGCAGGTTGACTGTGATTGGTCAGGGCATTGCCCTGAAAAATGAACCAGCAAATGGCTGTCACCTGTTTTGTTGAGTTCCAACAGACATCGTATTTTTGCATTTTCTTTCTATCTACAGGGAACAGGACCCTGTGTACTAATGTATATAGCTTCCAGTACACATTACTGTGCAACACTGTGAGCCCAACTGGCAATCCTAAATTGTTTGTCAATGTAATTCTTCTCACACTAGGATTGTCCAGAAAATGTCCAGTTGCAGAATTACATCTAAAATTGGACATTCTGTTGTGTGTTTTGCGGTGCTGGTCTGGTTGGGCATGGTCAGCATCTTGCTTGTTGCAAACAGTGCAGGTGTGATGCCAAGTGTATTGGCTGTAAGTCCCCAAGATTGGCAGAATCATATTAAACAGCATACGCTTGAGGAGAGGCGATCGTCAGGTGGTGCTATGACCTAACTATTAATACAGAAACTTTGGTTCAAATCCTGTCATGGCATTTGGTGGAATTTGAATTCAATAAAATTAGAGTCTAATGATGTACGTGAAACCATTGTTAATTGTTGAAAAACCCATCTGGTTCACTAATGGAAACTATCATCTTTACTTGTCTTCCTTACATGTGACTCCAGATCCACAGCAATGTGGTTGACTCTTAACCTGTCCTCTGATCAGATAGGGATGGGCAATAAATGCTGACCCAGCCAGTGACACCCTCATCCTGGAATAGGATGAATAGGAATGCACCTATTTTATTCCTTAGCTCGAACCAAATATATTCTGACCTTGACTGGTGAGGGGCATCCTCTGTCTCCAGCACTGGAATGTTTTGCTCAATCAATCTTGCCACTCCTCTTCCTTTCCTTACTCTTCTATTTTTTCTGAACACTTCATATTGAGGAATATTTCACATCCAGTCCAGCTCTTCTTTAAGCCAGGTCTCTGATATCACTACATCGTCATATTTCTACATGAAAATTGCGTCATACTTCTTATTTTTCATCTTGCTCAACCCACCTAAGACTTTACCGTTGCCTACTCTAGAACTATCTATCTCTCCCAATATTCTTCACATCTTGGTATTCCTATTTAGTATTACCTCCTAGTTGCCATATCCCCACACTCCAACACCCTTCCCTACAAGATTAACGACTCACCCAGCAAGATAACTGGCCTCAGTTCTGTTTAGGTATAACCCATACCATCTGTATAGGTCTCATCCCTCCTGATCTTTATTACTCAACCATTGGTAGCTGTATCTTCAGATGCCTAATTCATAAAATATAAGAATTCCTCCCTTAACCTGTATTTCTTCTCCTTGAAAGCTACTTTTTAAACTTAGATCTCTGGCCAAGCTTTTGGTCGCCTATCATTCTCAGTGGTTCAGTGTCAGTTTTTCTTTGTTAAAACGCTGCATGAATCCAAAGCTCATGACTTTGGTCAAACCACTAGAAGATGTGTCTGTCCATTGATACTTTAGCCAGTTGCTGTCTTTCACTGTTAAATGGAAGATGTTATATTCTACTTTGCAATGATGAAAACAACAACTTTAAAATCTCATCATCGCTGTACCTTTGAATTTTACTCTATGTTCACCCGTTAAATTTGAAGTAGATTTGTAAGGTTTATTGGACTCAGTAGTGGGGATGAGTAGATTTGATGGATTTATCAGACTGGATTATGGGAATGAGACATTGCATCAGAGCAAATATCCTGACCCCCACGCCCCACCCTCCCATCTCTCCAGTATTCTGCACATATCACCCTCTGATCCATTTAAGCCTCTCTTTCTTTAAATTCCCCCGCTCCAGTGTCTGTTTCTGCAGCACAAACCTACTGCCCCACCCACAACAATGTATGAGCATCATGAGGGTAGGATAGAGTAATTTCAACCAATCAACAATATGCAGGAGGTACAGGATTGTGGTGTAACTATCTGAGGAGAGAAAGTCAGATTACTGTTTCTAATCAGTGCCCTTGATTAGAACAGATCCTTTATTTAGTTTAATCATTTTCTGCTTTTCTTCAGATTGCCATCAATTTTGTTTTTAGTGCTATTTCATTAATGTGCATTGCTAACATCAGCATGCCATCTGGTTTGTACTGCAGCTATTTAACTTAACACTGTCTCTGTTTCCCAGGTATTCGTAATAAATTTGCTGCGGGACAGCAAGTATTTTCATTTCCGTCCGGTGATGGATACCTACATTCAGAAGCACTTCTCTGGTGCATTGGCATACAAGTGAGTCCAAATATCTGGTGGTTCAGGACCAGTTACCTGTGGAACCACACAGAGTTTTCTAATATCATAAAATAATTTCCCTAAAGCTGCATTTATACTTTTGACCTTCTGTAAAATCCCATTACATTGCAATCAATTTACTACAGTGTCATTTTCAATTTGATAAGAGAAGTGATGTAAGCACCTGAGCAGGATATTTCATTTATCTGGCTGATATGCAGGTCTTTAATCTTCCTATGCTTGCCCTCAGCTCTGACTCAGATCAGTCATTCAGTTGTAGCCAGTCTTTGATGCACCATTTACTTTGCCACCTTGTTTCTGATAATAAAAGTGCTGTCAGACAAAACTCTATGGAGGAACCAAGGTGCCATCAGCCCCTCAGAGGCCCCAAGATCCTCTCTTCCTGTGCCCAAGGTGAGGGAACATTCTAACTACTGAATGCAAGGTGACAAACATAAACACGTTTCCACCAGAGTATCATTCTCAATTTTGTCCTTTGAAGTCTGAAGTCACGTGTCACCAGCTTATAGTCCAACAGGCTTATTTGAAATCAGAAGCTTTTGGAGCACTGCTCCTTCATCAAGCACACAGGCACAGAATTTACAGGCAGAGAGATCAAAAAAATTGTACAAATGGTGTGATTGGAGTGTCAGCAGGCTGAATAGCAAGTTTCTGCAGGTGATCAAAAGTGTCCGATGGTGTGGGTAAGGTGTCAACAGCTGAATAGCAAGTGAAGGGATAACCTATGGTCCAATTAATTGAGACAGAGAGATAATTACAAAAAATCAAAAATAACATGGTGCTGGAGACAAACCAAATGGCTGGAATGACGTGATAGATATAAGAAACAAATTACAGAAGTTGCTGGAAAAGCTCAGCAGGTCTGGCAGCATCTGTGAAGAAAAGATCAGACTTAACGGTATTTAGAACCGAGGAAAGAAACGTTAACTCTGATTTTTTCTTCACAGATGCTGCCAGACCTGCTGAGCTTTTCCAGCAACTTCTGTTTTTGTTCCTGATTTACAGCATCCGCAGTTCTTTTGATTTTTATTTGATAGGTATAAAAGTCGCATGCTGAGCATCTAACCAAGGTAACAAATAATCCAAAACTGTACAAACTAACTAAGGTAGAGAGATCAGGACAGGTTATCAAAGTGACGGTGTCAAAACAGGACAGTAAGGAAGATTTTACAAACACAGAACAGAATGGTGGGCTTACATGTAGCATGACATGAATCCAAGTTCACAGTTGAGGCCATCTTCATGGGTACAGAACTTGGCTATCAGTTTCTGCTCGGCTCTGCACTAGCTCACTACACATTATTACTATCTTTGTGTTTCTGTTGTACTGCTATTAATGTATGTTAGTTCCAGAAGCCTTATGTTTATGGCTATGTCAGAATCAGAGTTATGATAGAAGCTGTGATTTCTTTGCCCACAGGGAGCTAATCCGATGTCTGAAGTGGTACATGGATCGATCTGCGGAAGTTGTAAGGCAAGATCACATTCAAGAGGCAATGAGGGTACATAGCAGTAACTGTAGTAACTCTGACAAAATATAGAATTAGAACAATAGTCCATTGCTACTCCCACTTAACCAAATCAAACTTCATTCTTCATCCGTTCACCATCTGTGCTGTGATTTGTTAATCATAGTGACAACGGGAAATCACTGAAACTTAATCCTTTGAAAATTTGTTAATGTCAAAAACCTACAGATAGATGTTTACTATCTGGTCCCTGTGTTATAAAAATGGCAACATCTCAAGCACTTCCTCAGTCCTTCTCTCACAGCTAGTTGAAACATTTTCCTTTTATTTGATCTGAACTTTCCTCTGCTTTTCACTTCATATTACTGTTTTACCTTCATTAACTGTTTTATGACTTTGTATGAGATTGTACAGGACGTTGGTGAAGCCTCTTCTGGAGTACCGTGTGCGGTTCTGGTCACCCTGTTATAGGAAAGATATTATTAAATTAGAGAGGGTTCAGAAAACATTTACCAGGATGTTGCCAGGAATGAAGGGTTTGATAATAAAAATAGGCTGGGACCTTTTCATTGGAGTGTAGGAGGTTGAGGGGTGACCTTATAGAGGTTTATAAAATCATGAGGGGAATAGATAATGTGAATAGCAAAGGTTTTTTTCCCTAAGGTGATGGAGTTCAAAACTAGGGGGCATATTTTTAAGATGAGAGGAGAAAGATTTTAAAAAGGACATGAGGGGAAACCTTTTTACACAGAGAGTGATTAGTGTGTGGAATGAACTGGCAGATGAAGTGGTGGATACAGGTCCTGTTACAACATTTAAAAGACATTTTGGATAAGTACATGAATAGGAAAGGTTTTGAGGAATATGGGCCAAATGGAGGCAAGTGGGACCAGTTTAGTTTGGGAACATAGTCAGTGTGGACTAGTTGGACCGAAAGATCTGTTCCATGCTGTATGACTCAATGTGGAGACATGGGAATGTTAGAACTTGTACAATCGCAGTAATGTCCTATCTAGTGGCTTGATAACGAACTTGATGTATTCTTGGATCGTCAATCTGTTCAAAGTTTCAAATCCCTACACTCTCTCAGCCACTCATCAGATTTCTAAGCCCAAACCAGCTGCTGGATTATTATTTTGTTCCCTGTTTCCAAATCCCTATGCTCCCCCACCCATCAGGTTTTTAACCCCCTAATTCTGAATTATCACTTTGTTTTTTGGTTCTCACTTTGATTCTCAGGTCATAGCTTCAGCTTCTAGTATTTCAGTTGAAATGAAACTGATTAGGCAAAGCATATGTGTTTTTGTACTTACTTTTACATACAGTTTCCTGATAACCAACTTTGGAAGTTGTGTGACATACATTAAAAATCTAATTACCAATTCTCCATACTTCGATCTGTGGAAAACAAAATCTTCATAGGTACCTTATGAAGAACAATCTCTACAGTTTTACTTTTCACAGTCACTTGTTGTATAAATATATAATTACTCATAGATGTCTGGCAAAGATCAGTGTGTGTTTCTGAGGGAGAAATATCACACCTTTTTCTCTGTAGACAGGTTAGGCCTGATTTGTATAATCATGCTTTATGAGTTTAGCATCAATATAAAGTGGAATCCAGAAATTGCTTCACACCAATATTTAAATTGTAAACGCACCCAAGTCTATGTCAAAAACCACATTGGAAATGCACCCTGCCCACTTCAGGTCCAGACTTTGTGGTTTGTATTTGTGGTTTTCACTATAGTCAGTTTAATATTTCTGAAAAACCAGTGCTAACAACAGCTGCATTTTCAACTGTGCTGTAAATGCTGGAGATATAACAGAGGTAGTGTACTGTCCATTACAGTTTCTTCATTTAAAGTAATCTAATAATACAATGTTTCATAACATTATCATACAAATGGCAGCATTTATCTTGAACTGGTATTTACACTGCATGAATTTAGTTGCAAAGTATAGATTTTCGGTACAGTGCATTCCTGGTTGACTCCCCATCCCTTAGTAATAAGCCTCAACTCTTTCAAAATATTGTCTTAATAAGATATGTGTCTGCTCAAGGATTGAACATTGATTGCAGTCAGGGCAGCAGTTGGACTGTTGCAGTTAGTCTCAATGCCTTCAGATTGACAGGGAAGAAGTTCAGTAAAGGTTTGCACTATTAATTACATGCAAATAACCTCTGTTGGCAAAAGTTCACTTGTGAATATTGGATGAGATTATATTCGACTACAGCATCAGTCACCGTTTGAATAACGCTGTCTAAATTCACATTTGAAGAAAGAACTTTGTACGAAGTATTGAAAACTGGTTGTACTACATTGTCAGTCATTACCTTGAGAAGATGTTAATAGGACAGGATCTGTGAGATTTATTTTTATTTGTTCCTTGTATGTACACAGTGCTGGCTTTGGAATCCCTAGGTATATGGGCTAACATGACATATATTTCCTACTCTTCCTGAAGGCAATGGTGAATGTTTTCTGTTGACTAGAATTTAGGAGCTTGCATGCCTGTTTTCTGTCAATTCAAGTTTGCCACTTGCCATGGTGGAACTTACAAGTTATGTAGCTCATCAATAACCACATAACCACAACCACCAGTCTGCAGTGTGACATAAGCCCTTTAAACATGGAGTAGTTGCCCATTTAGCTTTAAAACATTACCTGCAATGGTAAGAATGTAAAACCTCTCAGAATCGCTGAAATAAGATGAACAATTAGCCTTTTCTATTTATAATTATCTGACAAACGTGTGTTTCTATTCTTCCAGGCCTTGGAATATTTGTTCAAGTTTATTGTGCAGTCACGGATCTTGTATTCAAGAGCAACAGGTGGGATAGAAGAAGAACAGTTTCGTGCCAGTGTTCAAGAGCTCTTTCAGTCCATTCGCTTTGTCTTGAGTTTGGATAGCAGAAGTTCTGAGACTCTCATCTTCACACAGGTTAGTCTAGCAACAATAGCACATTCCCAGAAAACCAACTTCAAACAGGAACAAGCCCCCTGTTTGGATTCAGTAATATAGGTTTTAACAGCATTAATGCAGAGTACATTGACATAAAATGCTGATTTTTCATCTCACAGGCTTCAGTCTCAATAAAAACCTAGATTTGATAAAATGGAAGTCTCCTTCATCCGTTGACTGTGAGATGAAAAGAGATCAGGCAATTTTAACATATTTCCTGTCACATATGGCTGAATTCGCCCTTAAGTTAGCAACCTCACTCAGTCCACAGGCTAAGTAATGAAAGAAAATTTAGCATTTAGTGTATGGGGCAAACTCCCGGAGAATATGGCTGAAGGACCCTCAGGCTGAATAGGAGAACTTTTATTGTGCCCTAAACTATATTGTACTTGATGATCGGAATTCTACATTTCATATATTCATTCAGGGCTTATGGGTTTTGCAGACTTGGCCAGCATTCACTGCCCTTGAGAAGGTGGTGCTGCCTTCTTAAACCTCTGCAATTCATTTGGTGTAGGTTAACCACAATGCTGTTAGATAGGATCCAGGATTTAGTTCCAGGATTTTAACCCATTGATATTGAAGGAGCAGTGATATATTTCCAAATAAGGATGGTGAGTGGCTTGAACAGGAATGTGAGGATGGTCATGTTACCATATATCTGCTGCTGTAGTTCTTTTAAGTAGTGGTTGTCTTGTGTTTGGAAAGTGCTGACTAAGAAACCTTGGAAAATTTCTCTAATGCATCCACACTTTTATTCTGTCCTGTACTATGTTGTACTTAGTAATGAGGATCCTACTTCTCAAATTTTCTTTCGGAGGATGTGGACTTCACATGCTACTGTGCATCAGTGGTGGCAGAAGTGAACTTTTGTGTGTGTAGTGCCAATTAAGTGGGCTGTTTTGCCCTAGCTGTTGTCAATCCTTGAGTGTTGTTGGAGCTGCACTCTTCCAGGCAAGTGGGGAACATTCCATCACGCTCCTGAGTTGGACCTTCTAGTCCATGGACAGGTTTTGGGAAATCAGGAGGTGAATTATTCACTTCAGTTCAGTTTCTGGTCAATGGTAACATTCAGGATATCGTTGGTAGGGATTCAGTGAACACCACTGAATGTCAAAGGGCAATACTATATTCTTTCTTGTTAGTAATAGCTATTGCCTGGCACTTGTGTGACATGAATCTTACATGCCACTTGTCAGCCCAAAACTGGTGATGTACAGGTGTAGTGCATTTGGACATGGACTGCTTCAGCATGTGAGGAATCGTGAACTTCACGTACATGGTGAACATTGTGCAATTGTCAGCGAATGTACCCATTTGTGATCTAATGATAGAGTGGAGGACATTGATGAAGTAGTTGAATATGTCTGTGCCTAGGACACTACTGAGGAATTCCTGCAGAGATGTCCTGGAGCTGGGATCACTGACCTTCAACAACTACAGGCATCTTCCTTTGTGCTAGGTATCACTCAAACCAACAGAATACATTCCTTCTGATTCCCATTGATTCTAGTTTCGCTAGTGCTTCTTGACAACAAATGTAGCTTTGATGTCAAGGACAGTCACTGTCACATCACTCTAAAGTTCAGCACTTTTGTGCATGTTTGAACCAAGTCTGTAATGAGGTCAGAAACTATGTGGCCCTGATGGAACCCAAATTAAGTTTCAGTGAGCAGGTTATTGTTAAGCAAGCGCATCTTAGAGCATTTGGCCTGTATCCCTCTAAACCCTTCCTATTCATGTACCCACCCAGATATCTTATAAATGTTGTAATTGTACCCACCTCCGGCACCTGCTCTTACAGCTTGTTCCATACATTCAGCACCCTCTGCAGGAAAAAGTTGCTCCTCAGATCCCTTTTAAATCTTTCCCCTCTCGCCTTAAACTTATGCTGTCTAGTTTTGGACTCCCCTACCATGGGAAAAAGTCTTGATAGCTTCCATCACTTTACTGATGATCAAGTGTACACTGATGGGTTGGTAACTTAGCTGTTTGATTTATCTGCTTTTTGATTACAGGGCATATGTGGGCACTTTTCCACATTCCTAGATGAACACTATTATTGTAGCTGTTTTGGAACAGATCAGTTAGGGGCACAGCATATTCTTGAGCACAAGTTTTCAGTATTATTGTGGAATATTACATTGCCCAGAGCTTATGCAGTGTTCAATGCCTTCATAATTTCTTGATACTGCATGGAGTGAATCAAACAAGCCGAAGACTAGTGTTAGTGATGCTGGGAACATCCAGAAGAAACTGAGATGTAGCATCGACTCAGCACTTCTGGATGAAGACTGCTGCAATGCTTCAGCCTTATCTTTTGCACTCATTGAGGATGAGAATATTTGTGGAACATCCTCCTCCTGAGTGCCAACCATCATTCACGACTAGACATGGCAGGACTGCAGAGCTTAGATCTGATTCATTGGGTGTGGTATCACTTATCTCTGTTTGTCACTTGCTGCTCATGCTGTTTGACACACAAACTTCACCAGTTGTCACGTCACTTTTAGATATGCTTGGTGATGCTCCTGACATGCTTTCCTGCACTTTTCATTGAACTAGGGGTTATCATCTGTCTTAAAAGTAAAGGTAGAGCAGGGGATATGCCAGGCCATGAGGTTTCAGATCATGTTTGAGTATAATTCCTCTGCTGCTGATAACCCACAATGCCTTTTGGATGCCCAGTTTTGAGTTGTTAGATTTGTTTGAAAGCCATCTGATGTGGCATGGTCTTGATGCCACATAACACAATGGAGGGTATCCTCAATGTTAGACAAGACTTAGATTCCATAAGGACTGTGCAATGGTCATTCCTACCAATACTTCAAAAGACAGGTGCATCTTCAGCAGGCAGATTGGTGAGGATGAGGTAAAGTCTGCTTTTACTTCTTGTTGGTTCCCCTATCTAGCAGCCATGTCTTAGGGTTTGACCAGCTCAGTCAGTAGTCCTGCTGCCAAGTAGTTCTTGGTGATGGATGTTGAAGTTCCCCACCCAATGTTACACTAGGTGACAGAAATTGAAGCTTATGTTCTAAGGTTATAACATCTTGTACCTCAAAATGTATAAAACACAGCAAATCAGTAAAATAGAATGTCAGTCCGATTCCAGTAAACCAAAGATTAATAGCAATAGGAGAAGTGATGACCTGGTGGTATTATCACTGGACTGTTAATCAGAGATGCAGATAATATTCTGGGGACCTGTGTTTGAATTGTGCCACAGTGGATGTTGGAATTTGAATTCAATAAAAACAAAATCTGGAATTAAGAGTTTAATGATGACCGCAAATCTATTGTTGAACCATCTGGTTCACTGATATCCTTTAGGGAAGGAAACTGCCATCCTTACCTGATCTGGCCTACATGTCACTCCAGACCCAAGCAATGTGGCTGACTCTTAACTACCCTCTGGGCAATTAGGGATGGATGATAAATGCTGACCTAGCCAGTCATGCCATCCTCTCATGAATGAATAAATAAAAACCTCTTGTATCTTCAGCTTGAACTGGGATAACTGTCATTCTAATCTGGTGTTAAGAGTTTAAGCTTTTTTACTGTTTGTGTGTTCAAACAATTTTGTCTGGCCAAATCAGTATTTTATGTTGTTAGTGTTTCTGAGAATGAATAATTGAACGTGATGAGTGTTTTGTCATATACTTTGCAATGATATTCCAAACTAAGCTGGTATTTGCATTCTGTATGGCTGAATGATTCCATTTAATCTGACATTGTTAGTAGCTCCATGGATTTTATATATGGATGAATTGAGCAGTTTTTCAAAGCTGTTGTTTCTGCTTTAGGCTGCCCTTCTCAATTCCTTCCCAGCAATCTTCGATGAGCTGCTGCAGATGTTTACTGTGCAAGAGGTGGCAGAGTTTGTGAGGGGGACACTGGGCAGCATGCCCAGCACAGTGCACATTGGTCAATCTATGGATGTAGTCAAGCTGCAATCCATCGCACGGACAGTAGACAGTCGTCTCTTTTCATATTCAGGTAAGAGACAGGAACATGCAGGTATATTTAGAGATGGCTATAAATAATAAGCTACATAAAAATAGAACAAGTTGCTTTTAAAAAGTTTAAAGATGTACTTTTCTGGATTGGTGTATATGTTTTGTGGCTATGGGTGATGTTTTCCCAGGCAATGAGGAGAGGGTTTGTGTGCATGGGAAGTTAAAACTTCCTGAAATTGACTTTGGGTCAGGACCCCAATACTAGTTTCCCCTCTTGCTAGTTTTTACAGGGCAAGATTGAAGGCAAGAGATGAAGCTTCTTGGTCTGCCAACTTAAGTAAATTAAGCAACTCATCAAGATCACAGGGGCAAGCAGAACTTTTATAGCAAAACTGAAAAGCTGGAAGCGTGTTGATCAGTTAGATTAAAGTGCTCCAGCCATTCACAGGCGATTGCTATTTTTTTTGAAAGGCATTTAATCTGTTCAATTTCAGCTGTACTTCCCTGCCACCAGTCTTCAACAAATCATGTAAGCAGATTGTGCACCGTCTCCCATACCTTACATCTCTCATGAGAGGCAAGAGCAGAAGCAACATCAACACATGGGATCCAGCAACCTGCCATGAAAACTTGAGCCTCATAAGGTCCTGGTGCTCAGACATGTCAACAGAGCTAATCATCTACTTACATTCTCTGTGCTGAAGCTCTTACCTCCTCATAATTAGACCTTGGTGTCTGCCCTAGGGAGGGACAGATGGCTGTGAAGGCATTTGTGTTGCTGCTGTTGATGTGAGGACTGTGGTTGCTTGAACTAGAAATTCTTCCCTTTAGAGAATGGATGGACCATCCTGTTCACCCTCCTTAATTGATTGTCATTTGAATATTGGAAGCTAATGTTGTGACTCAGTTAAAGAGCCATAACAAATTGTGCAAAGTATTTAATTGTGTTTCCAATTCAAAAATGTCCCTGCTGTTTCAGCAAAGACTGAATCACAAGATTCTGCATGTAGAGCTAGAGTAATTCTGTAGCTAGACCAAATGATCTGATTTTGGGCTATGCAAGCTTTGTACTTTGATGTAGATGGTTAATGTTAGATTTTAGATGTTAGATAACTATGCATACACTGGAGCAGTGCATTTTAAATATTCTAAATTTATTTAATTATTTACTCTTAGTCTCTGCTATCCCCATTCCTGTGAAATAATCCTCAGTGCATTCATGTCATGGAAGTCTTAATCCACCTTAAGGCTGTAAATCTGAACGGCTTCACTTCCAACTGTTTGATTCCACTATTGCCTGCCGGTACTTTGGCAGCTGTGATGAAGATACTAAATGTCTTCCACAGCAAGAGTTCTATGGTCCTAGTAGGTGGAACTCACTGCCACAATCACTTCCCTCCACCAAATTCTTGGCAGGCCCCTTGTCCTCAATCCCAAACAAACTACCAAACCCTGCTTGGTATTTGCATTACAAAGATATGTAGACCTGACTCATTGAAATTTAATACTCAGTTCTTTGACCTGGCAAACCTCCTTGGTGCTTGTTTCTGCTTTCAACAACAGATTATTCCTGTACCTGACAGGTCTTTGCCTTATCTCCAGTGTTATTTGGCTCCCACACCTCCACTTCCCCATAGCCTGTATCCCTTCAGAGCAGATCCTGTGGCTTACAGCAGGCTCATGTTGCAAAGTTGGTATAGTACTTGTGGATTAGAAAGCTGGACGTTAGAAATTGTTTGCAAAATGATAGGGGAGAAGAGTACGTGGCCCCTTTAAAAGATGTTTATTTTTTAGGCTTGGAAATTTAAAAAAGTCTGCAGGCAGCAGCAGATGCACAGTGAATTCTTGAAATTGAAACATTGTATCAGAAGCCTATACTGTTAACAGGGAAAGCAGCATTTTTACCAAGACAACAGGTTTTTGAATTTAGCCAATTAATTTACACCAGACCCCAGAAACAAAAGCCTAATTAAATTTAAATCTGATGGTTTTGACAACATCGGACCATTCCTATTTTAAGAAATTAATAGGCCATCAATGGTATCAGAGAAGAGGGCATTTGAAAGTCAGTGTGAGAGCAACAGTCATCTGTTAAGAGAAGAACTCTCAACAGCCATCAGCTCTAAAGAAAGAGAAAATCACTGAGATCTCTCAGATATCAGAGTAAGCACCATCTCAATAAAGGTAACTATGGCACTCTTCAACTAATATTCCTGACACAAGAATTCAATGGAGGAAGGCATTCCTGACTGGGGGACAGTGGAGAAGACAAAGAACATTCCAGAAGACTTATCCTGGCTGTAATTTTGAGAGATTAAGCTTTTTTTTAATTTAATTAGGTTTATGTAAGTGGGACTTCTATCTATTGGAACAGTATACCACTAGAATTTTGTTTTATTCAGGAATAGTCAATAGTTAACAGGGAATTGTTCAGTTTGTTTGTAGTTCTGTTAATTTGTTAACTGTTAGAGTTAGTTAAATAAATTGTTACTCAGTGATTATAAAGTGAGTATCAGGGATTTGTTTCATTTAACCACTTCTTTAATAGATTACGAGGTGAGCTTCTCTGGGTGTTTTGGTCTTAGTTATCACAGGGAGGTCCACCACGCCTTCGTAACAGTCAGTGCATTCATCTGCAGAAGTTCAGCTTTTCCTCAGTTCCAATGGTGCTGTCTGAGTTTAAGGCCCACAATCCCTCTGTCTCCAGATATGCAGAGTTAAATGTTTAAACGAAGATCTGTAGCTCAGGTTGCAGTTGGAGTTGTTGGTTGGCTCGCCAAGTTGACTGGTTTTCATGCAAACATTTCGTCTCCCTTCTAGGTGACATTGTCAATGCCTTGTAGCCTCCGTTGAAGCGCTGTTGTTCTGTCCCGCTCTGAATTTATACAGTCCGGTCTGTCATGGTGGGCAGTCTTGTTTCCGGTTTTGTACCGTAGTGGTATGTAGATGGGGCCTATTTCAACATATTTGTTAATTGCATCAGTAGTTGAAAACCAGGCCTCCAGGAAATCTCGTGCTTTGTCTTGTAAAGTACTGTAACTTTATCCCAGTTAAATTGATGTCCTTCTATGTCGGAGTGTATTGAAATGAGGGAGAGTTGTTCATGCCATTTTGCTGCGAGTTGGTGTTCATGTATCCTGGTGGCATGTTTCCTGCCCGTCTGTCCAATGTGGTGTTTCTTGCAGTTGCTGCATGGTATTTAGTATATCATATTTGTCCTGCTCATTGTAGATATGGGGTCTTTTGTCTTTGAGAGCAACTGGCAAAGTGTGGCTGTTGGTTTGTGTGCTATCCTTATTCCAAGAGGTCGTAGGAGTCTTGTGATCAGCTCTGATGTGTTTCTAATATAGGGTAGGTTGTTGTTCCGTCCTGCTCTGAATTTATACGGTCTGGAGTCTTGTAGTTAGTTCTGATCTATTTCTAACATAGGGTAGGGTGGCCAGTGTGTTGGGGGTTACGGTGTCTTCTTGGTGTTGTTTATCCACCAATGCCACCCTACCTACGTTAGAAATAGATCAGAACTAACTACAAGACTCCAGACCGTATAAATTCAGAGCGGGACGGAACAACAGTGCTTCAGTGGAAACTACACAGCACTGACTAGAAGGGAGACGAAACGTTTGCATGAAAACCAGTCAGCTCAGTGAACCAACCAACAACTCTATCCAGAGTTCGTTATGAATGTGTTACCTATTTCAGTTATGACTTTGCTTTTCTTATTGCAAGATGACACCTGTTTCCAGTAGGGAATGTGTTTCAACAGCCTAATGTGTTGAAGGACATTGAACGACTGCACAATAGAGGTGTGGCTCAACACACAAACTTCTTTTATTCACAGACTCACGGCGGATCCTGCTACCCGTTGTTCTCCATCACATTCATTTGCACCTGCGGCAGCAGAAGGAGTTGCTCATCTGCTCTGGAATCCTCAGCAGCATCTTTTCTATCATGAAGTCAAGCTCTCTGGTATGCCTCAGTCCTACATAATGGAATGGCAGCAATAGTGTATTTTCACAGAGAATCTTTTGCTAGCTCAAGTCAAGCTAGTTCTTTTGTTTAATTTTCTTGTGTAATATCTCCACTGTCTTTCTCAGCAACTCATCAAAGAATGTCCTCTATTGGTTTTATACAGAGTCTTTGTTTAATTTTTCATTTAGTATGTGTTTATTTTAGAGAAAAGAAAACTGTAAATACTAGAAATCTGAAATTATAAACTGAACATTTTTGTAAATACATCACAGGTCAGTCAGCCAGTCACAGAGCAGTACCACACCCTGAGGCACCATTCAGGCCATAGACACATTTGTTTCCATTGTTTTCCTTCTGCATGTGTCACCTCTTTGAGCAATTTCAAAAACACTTCTCCATGATAATATTGACTTGATAATATATTGCTTTTACATAAAATGACCTAAACTCCCAAAAAAGGTGACCAGAAGATTATAAAGGTTTTTAATTTGATTTTCTTCAGCTGTAAAAAAAAACCTTAATATTTGTATTATTTATTCCCTGTTCAAAACCCTGAGCAGTCAATCTCACTTTAGCATTATAGTCCCACTTGCAAGGACTTTTTCAGCACAAATTCACCTGTCTCAATGTAGGTTAACCATTATCTGGTACTGCAGAATATGTTCTAAACTCTCTTCTATCATCTAACTCCTCTTTTTTTGCCTGTCCTATAAGTTTATAGTTTATTGTCAGTCATCAAACTTCATGAACATGAGGACTTCTGCTTTCAGGTCAGTTGTGAGAAGTTCTGTACTCTTCATTTCACAATCCAATCAATTGAAGCCAAAGCTTATACTTGTACTTTTATGTCTTGTGGGAACTGCAATGGCAGGATCTCTTCTTGCACGTAGCAGGGATTTTATCTTCAGTTTATAACTGATTTCTGATATGACACACTTTCAGACTCAACAATAGTACTTGCTCTGTGTTTTCTAACTTGCCACTCCTTCAAGCATTTGCCAAGCCATGGACATAACCTCTTGGTAATCATCCCGAGATTCAATTAATATTTAACTTAGCAGTGACTTTTACAACATGCCCCACAAATTTTGCATACTCCCCCTAAAGGACATTTCACTCAAGTACCAACTCTGGCTGTTGTTATATCATCGTAGAAAGCAATAACCTGAAACAAAGGAATTCCCAAATAATGCTGATGTTCCATTTTTAAAAATTTTTGCTGTAATATTAAACCTGAAACAACATAAAGTTGATCATACAACTGTTATGATCTGAGCTGATCCTTACTGGAAAGCCAAGCGTCCAGACTGAAATCCAGACTGGATCATTTTTTTTCAGTTTACCAAGATGTTCCTTCACTGAAACACAAGCAATTTGGTTTTGCCAATAAATCAGTTAAGATTATTGCGCAAAAAGAAGAATAAATAGAATAAACCAAGCTATTTACATATAACACAATTTGAAAAATTTTGAAGCACACAGTAAAAATACAATCCTAATAATCCCAACATCATTACTTTACAGTACTCGAATACCAAAGTTTGCTTTTCTATCTCATCTATAGGTTTAATGTAACCATTTCTTTCAGTTCCTAGTTTTTTTCGTTTTATTCATTCACGGGATGAGGTCGTCGCTGGCTAGGCAGCATTTATTGCCCATCCCTAATTGCCCAGAGGGCAGTTAAGAGTCAACCACATTGCTGTGGGTCTGGAGTCACATGTAGGCCAGACCAGGTAAGGATGGCAGTTTCCTTCCCTAAGGGACATTAGTGAACCATTAGACTTGGGTGTTAGGTCCTCCTCCTTAATTAGTCATACTTAGCCTTTCTCAACCTTGTAAAACCCTTTCAGGTTCGAATCAAACACTTCAGGTCTGGAACTTTCAAACTAAAATTCTTAGACCGAAGTAACCTATTTCCTAAGTTTAAACTATCTCCTTTCTTGAGGGGAAACTGTTTCATGCACCTTAACTTCCACCAGAACATCTGTGAACTGAAAAACAAAAGCTTTCCAAGCTATGGATTTTTTTCTAAGGAATTGTTTCCAGATCCTTCTAAACGGAAAGCAGGCTAATGCTCCTCAATGTTTACTGTGTCTGCTTGTAAAACTCTCCCAAATGCAAACATATTCCCAATGTCACCCCAGGGACTCCACCTCATTGGTTTTAAAAAAGTTGTGATTCTAGAAATATTGACAAGCTAATCCTTTATTCATACAAACCAAAATCCACTTGCCAGCAGGTCAAAATCCAAGCACAAAATTAAATGATATTCAAATATATATAAATCACGCAACTTACATCACACAGTGAAGGACAAATTGCATTTTACTCGAATAGACGAATTTCACTGTGAATAGCTGATATCGCATAGATTTCCAGCACAGTTACAAGTACTGTGATACTTCCCAAATAACTGTGGCCCTGTATGCAATCTGACAATACATTCAACTCAGCATACAGTATATAGGGTTTCTCACTTTCTTACTTAATGGATTTGATTTTTGAGTTGCTTTCACTGCGCAATTCTATTCTATCCAAGAGCCTTGGATACAATTAACACCAATAGTACAGTCTTAGAAACCCTAATTAGCTAGGTTCAGGCCAGTCCTGATGATACAAATTCCCCCAGAGAATCTGTTATCCAAACCCCTTAATAAACATTGTTAAACAATCTCTGGCAGAAATGAAACAATAATAATAAAAATTGCCCTATTCACGATCTGTGCTCTAAATCTATCTATTCACTGTAATTGATCTTTCTGATCAGCAAACCCCCATCTCCATGGCAATGTTAAATCACAGCCAAGTATATGGTATTGCATCTTGCCTAAACATTTTCTCCTTAGTAACCTCAAGCTAGGATAATTTGTTAGCAGTCTAATGAACTCATAGTCAGGAATTCATCTTTCCAATGTTAGCTTAGTTTCTCATTGGCTTTAAAGAGATATCTTACAAAGCTTTTTTCCAAGTACTGAGTTCATCATACTGTGAATATGATAGATTTGTCCTGTATGTCATTCTCCTTCATATTACCATTTTCCAGACATTGATTTACTGTATTCTGTTCCTCAGGACCTTCATCACAAAGAACATATGCATTTAAAGCACACGGAACCCTGTTCACTTATATCAATTGCTAGGAGTATGAAATTTTATAATTAATTCTGATGAAAGGGTGAGGAATGAACCTTTTCAAACTTGGAGATCACGTTATTAAGAGTTGTTTTACCATCATAACTTATTACCTTACTGGGCCTTTTAATCCTTTATGACCCTCACTTACAGTACAACAAATTTTCTGAATTTTCCTCATGGATGATCTTACATGGTGCCTCAGTATTCTCTGAATTTTCTTCAAGACCGCAGTCTTGTCTCATGCACATATAGCTTTTAAATGTTTTATAATAATTTATTTCACAAAGTCTGTTGCTGAAATTACTTTCAGTTGAGGCATTCATGACCATAACCATATACTCACATTTCTTTGCACTTGTTATTGGCAAAATGTCTTCCATTATAAGGTAGAAACTTAGCAGGTATCCCAAGTTCAGCCTCTATCCACTTATCTACGATTTTGTCTGTAATAACCCTTTTGTATTTGCAATGTATTATTCTAGAAATACAATATCTGACTGCTAGGTCTATAAAATATAGAATGAACATAATTTCTGGCTTTGTCCCATTCCTTTTGATATGTGACAATTTGCTTGCTTAAATATCTGCCAATGGAAGTCTTGCAGTAAGACATGGCAGTATCTCTTAACACGTAATAATGATTTCATATTACCCACTAATCTCTTCTGTTAGCCTTGTGTACTGTTCATTATCAAGAACGGCAGGATGGGATTTTTAATCTTTGATGTAAAGGTGAGCAAATTGTCCACAAACTTAGATATTTCTTTTTGATTTCTATTTTGTCAGTAAAAGGATGAAGTGGATCTGGCAGATAAAGTTAAAGATAATCCCAAGAGATTCTATGGCTATATTAAGAGTAAGAGGGTGGCTAGGGAGAGAATAGGTTCCCTTAAAGATCAGCATGGCCGCCTATGTGTGGAGCCCCAGGAGTTGGAGGAGATTTTTAATGAATATTTCTCCTCAGTGCTTACTGAGGAGAAAATCATGGATGCTAAGGACATAAGGGAAACAAGTAGGGATGTTTTGGACCACACATTATACCAGAGAGGAGGTGTTTGCAGCCTTGAAGCACATTGATGTGGCTAAATCCCCTGGGCCTGATCAAGTCCATCCTCGGACATTGTGGGAGGCTAGGGAAGAAATTGCAGAGACCCTTGCAAAGATTTTTTCTTCATCTTTAGTCACTGGTGAAGTTCCGGAAGACTAAAGGATGGCTAATGTTGTTCCATTGTTTAAGAAAGGTAGCAAAGACAAGCCAGGAAACTACAGGCCAGTAAGCCTGAAATTAGTAGTAGGCAAGTTATTGGAGAGGATTCTGAGAGACAGGATCAACCAACCTTTGGATAGTCAGCATAGATTTGTGCATGGGAAGTCGTGTCTGACAAATCTTTTAGAATTTTTCAAAGGTGTAACCAAGAGGTTTGATGAGGATAGGGCGGTGGATGTTGTCTATATGTACCTTAGTAAGGCCTTTGACAAGGTCCCACGTGACAGGCTGGTCATTAAGGTTAAATTGCATGGGATACAGGAAAAGTTAGCTAAGTGAATTCAAAATTGACTCGATCGTAGGAAACAGAGGGTGATGATTGAAGGTTGTTTCTCAGACTGGAGTCCTGTGACTAGTTGTATACCACAGGGGTCGATGCTGGGACCTTTGTTATTTACATACATGATCCGGATGTTAATGTACAAGGCAAGATAAGCGTGAGGTGTTGCACTTTGGAAAGTCAAACTAAGGTAGGATTTACACAGTAAATGGTAAGGTCCTGAGGAGTGTTGAGGAACAGAGGGACTAGGAGTACAAGTACATAGTTCATTGAAAGTGATATCACAGATATACAGGGTGGTGAAGAAGGCATTTA